GTTCCGCTCCTTCAGCAGGTTCTTGGTCTCCCGCCTTCTACTGGTCCTGCCCCGTCCGTAGAGTGTCCACCGCCTGTCCAGTCGCAGTCACTGTTGCAGCCTGCGTCCTCGCTGCCTGCTTCTTCTCCTTACACTGGTCCGACCGGTGGTCATACTGAGTGTCGTGAGCCTGAGTCTCGTCCTGCGTCGCCTGTTCGTGCTGCTCGCACTGGTCGTCGCGTTCCGCGTCAGCGTCCTCCTGCTGTCCCAGGCACGCACCAGATGGCGCTTCGTCCTTCCACTGCTCCACAGCGTGTCCCTCTGCCGTCTCCTCCTGCGTCCTCTCTTCCTGCACTTCCTGACCCGGCGTCTGACTCCCTTCGTGCTGCCAGTCCTACTGTCACGCGTCTCCTGGCCACTGTTGTCACTGACCCTTCCTTTGAGTCCACTGCTGCGTCTGCCCTCGTTGCTGAGCTTGTCGACTTTGCTGCTCACTGTCGTCTAGACTACGCCGCGAGTCTTGTTGCTGAGTCTGAGTCTGTCTGTCCTCTGTCCGTCGGGGGTGAGTGTGCTCTTGGCACGGACGTCCTTGAGGACAGGCAGGAGGACTTTGAGTGCTTTGCAGCCGCTGTACCTCATCTCGTGTCCTTGCTGATTTCTCCTGAGGGAGACCCGGATGCACCAAACATCCCGACCCCGCGCTCTTACGCAGAGGCGATAGAGGGTCCCTACTCCTCTCAGTGGCAGTCAGCCATGGACGCAGAGATGGCATCCTGGAAGTCCACAGGTACCTACGTTGACGAGGTTCCCCCTCCTGGGGTGAACATCGTTAGTGACATGTGGATTTTCAGGGTGAAGCGGCCGCCGGGTTCTCCGCCTGTCTTCAAGGCGCGTTACGTTGCTCGGGGCTTTAGTCAGCGACAGGGAGTTGACTTCTTCTAGACCTTCTCCCCGACCCCGAAGATGACCACTCTTCGGGTTCTGCTGCACGTCGCTGCTCAGCGTGACTACGAGCTTCACTCTCTTGAATTCAGCACTGCTTTCCTACAGGGCAGCCTGCACTAGGAGATCTGGCTGCGCCGCCCTCCTGGCTTTACTGGGTCGTTTCCTCCTGGTACCCAGTGGAGCCTCCGACGGCCAGTCTACAGTCTCCGCCAGGCGCCTCGTGAGTGGCACGACACACTGAGGACTACGCTTGCGGCTCTTGGGTTTGCTCCTTCTACTGCTGACCCGTCGCTGTTTCAACGCACCGACACTTCGTTGCCGCCGTTCTACATCCTCGTGTACGTTGACGACTTGGTCTTTGCCACTGCTGACTCTGAGGGACTCGCCCACGTGAAGTCAGAGCTGCAGAAGAGACACACGTGCACTGACCTGGGTGAACTACGCAGCTATCTTGGCTTGCAGATCACCCGGGACAGAGCACAGCGCACCATCACCTTGACTCAGTCACACATGGTGCAGCAGGTCCTTCAGCGCTTCAACTTCACGTACTCCTCGCCTCAGGCCACTCCTCTGTCTACTAGCCACTCGCTCTCAGCTCTGATACCATGTCAGAATCCCAACCACTAGACCATTGGGATAAAAGGGCTTGTTGAGTAGCGGGTCAGTGCGCCCATAACCCCCCAGGCCAACATGCCTGTAACCCTTCCCTAGGATCAATCGGGGATCACCAGTGGACCTCTGACACAGGGGAGGAGTAGCGCGCAACAACAGCGTCGTACAGAGTCTTAGCAGTCTTGTACTGGCTAAAGTGCGCGCGCTCAGCAGACGGCAGGTGACTACGAACAGCAAGACGAGCAGCAGCATCGCGCGTGGTCCACTGTGAGCGAACTGCACTGTTAGCATCGACAGCAGGTGCAACAGCGACGCCGGACGTGTGATCGAACAGTGAGACTTCGTCCCTAGAGTCGCACTGCAGAAAAAGCTGCAGATCATTGACCCAGACCTCGAAATCAACTGCTCGACCCTCAGCATTGAAGGTAAGTACATTAGGGTTAGCCATGGTGGCAGTAGCAGTAGCAGTAGCTGCAGCAGCAGCAGCGCGGCTCGGCAGGGCGGCGCGGCTCGGCAGGGCGGCGCGGCTCGGTAGGGCGGCGCGGCTCGGCAGGGCGGCGCGGGTGCGGCAGTGTGCTTACCAGGGGCGGGAGTGGGGCAGGGCCGCGACTGGCAGGGCAGGGGCCGCGACGAGCCGGCAGGGAACGGGCCGCAACGAGGCGGCAGGGCAGGGCCGCGACTTGGCGGCAAGACAGGGTCGCGACGATGCGGCGGGAGAGCAGGGCCGCGACCGGGCGGCAGTAGGGCAGGGCCGCATCACGGCGTCTGCAGGGGAGGGCCGCGTCGAGGCCGCGGTGTTGTGCCAACACATTACAGTGGTACGGTCATCGCACTCCCATTCGGACCCTCAAAGTTTCAGAGTTTTTGAAGCAGTTACCAAGGCATGACAACATTTTATGTTTCAAGACTTATGGCATCCCGGAAGTGTGTGTTACTCCTTTTTGGTAACACCCGAGTTCACCATTTCGGCTGCTGACTCGTCTACCGAGCTCGGATTGGTCTGAAATTCGGTCTGCCAGTCCTTTGCCCCGCTGTACAGGTGGTCACCAAGTTTCAGAACGATCCAACATCTGAGCATTGCGTGACAGCTGCCGAAATTCACTGTTCCGTAGTCATGGTGCACTGTTGGCAGCATTTTCCTTGCCACCCTTTCATTGTTGTCATGCCAATGGTGCAGGGACAGAGAATGAGACAAGAAGTACAGGTGGTCAAGTGGGACTCTACAGCTCTCCTTTTGAGAAGTGTGGTCTTCCTGGAACCAGCTTGCAAGAGGGTGCAAGTGGGAAGACAAGCTGACTCATGGTTGGCTTAACTCACAATTGGTTGCCTTGAGTACAGCTCTGAACATCCATGTGTGGTTGGCTTTGCTGACCTAGCTAGGACGTTTCCCATCCTTCTCTAGCCTTTCTCCCCTAGGACTCAACCTTCTCTGAGTTCCCAGGATGATCCCAACCCCTTAAGAGTCCCCTAGGCAATGTTGTACCTCACCTCTTCCTTGCATCAATGAGAATACATGTTTTTCAGCCGAGCTTACGTTTTCGTTCACAGCGTAGCGCATACACCTCTGGTGAAAGCAAGCATTACACCGTTGGAAAGCAGACACTTAAGGCTAACTGCTGTCCAAGTTTCAGCCTCATGTGTTATCGGAGCTGATCGTGACGGCGTTTTGAACAGAGGCGGTTTGAAGACATCAGATTCTGCTTAGGCGGTTTCATGGGCATCCGCGACCTCTAAGTGGACTCTTGATTATAACACGCGGCAAAGCAGGGCCGCGACAAGAGGCGGCAGGGCAGGGCCGCGTAGGCGGCGAAATCAGGCCGCAGCAGGCGGGTAGGGCAGGGCCGCGACGACGGCTGAGGCGGGCCGCTAAGGGCTGCGACGACGGCTAGGGCGGGCCACTAAGGGCGGCAACGACGACTAGGGCGGGCCGCGACTACGGCTAAGGCGGGCCGCGGCGGCGAGAAAAGGGGCCTCGACAGGCCGTTGAGGTAAGAGCGCGACGGGCCGCAAGGGCAGGGCCGCTAAGGGCGGCGCTAGGGCGGAGCGCACGACGGCGCAGCGAGGCAGGCGCGACGCGCGCTTCGGGCAGGGCAGGAAAAAAAAGTTAACACGGTGGGCCCTTAAAAAAAAAAAAAAAAAAACGTTCCCACTAGGGAACCTGCTCTGAAACCATGTCACGAAGTAAGAAACGAGAATGGCTAGAAACGGGACAGTACAAGGTTTGTATAGGCGAAACCTAACAATACTGTACCCCATAAGGAGTGCCCCACCACAGCCTATAATATAGTTCTGACTAAATGGACATGTCTACGCCATCAGATGAACGATAAAAAACATGTCTGAAATCCAGACAAATAAACAAAATATTTCCGATAACGTAGTCCCTGGCGGAGAGGTCGGGCGAAGATGGCTCGGTGATGGTTGGTTGCGATTGGTGCGGAGGCGACTCGGGGGTGGTTCGGTGCGACGAAATAGGCAGAACAGGTTCGTCGCGTGACCCTCGGGATGGCCTCGCTAAGGAGTGCCTCAATAAGGATTTTGTAAATCCTTACACGGATCCCTACATACTCACAGCATCATCACAACAACGGAACCTGGGAAAGGCACTTGCAATGTGACATGCGGCTTGGAAACCAGCCAGCATCAACCTACTACTGCCTCGCCCATCTCCTCGTCCCATGATCCTCGCCTGTCTCTGTTCCCTCCCACCTGCTCGTGCACGCCCTGCCTCTACCCGTTCCACCACTCTCTCCAAGCCGTGGTGTGTCTTCCGCCGTCGCTGCTGCTCACACCTTCGCAAGCTTCTTGTCTCAGTTTGTTGGTGCCTCTTTTATGTCGCCGTGCTATTTCCAGCCAACCAGCACCTTGAAATCCTCGCCTTCACCTAGCTGGGCTCGGCAGACTCTATTCGAGGCACCTCGCTGGCAGTAACAGTAGTACTAGTGACTTGGTTGTGCCGCCACGCCAATGCTCCGCTTCACGCCTCCCCCGGTTGTCGTCAGTGACTGCAAGCACGCCAAAATAGCAACCGCTACAATGGCTGTTCATTACCGCAACACGCGCCAAGTCAGAACGCTCCTCGTACTCCTCGCGCACCCTTTCCGCCAATCTGCTTCCGCTCAACCCTCCTCCGCATTAGACACTCCTGGCCTCCCGTCAACCAAGTCAACGCTCCGAACGTGGGGAGACCCTGATCGTGCCGCTAGTACTCAACGCCACTTACCACCTACCACGTACCACTATCTACTCAAACCTCCTTCGGATCTCGCCCTCAAAATCCGTGCAACAACGCCCGGCATTAGAACTAGTAGTAACACTAGCCGCGCCAGTAGAGCTCGAGTTGGTACTTGTAGTGATACTTCCTCTTTTCCAATTATCTTAATAGTGGCGCATCATTATTCGCACGCTCCCGATCTTCGCGTACTCCCATATTCATTCGCATACTCCCATTCTCGAACGCCTTCATGACGTCATTCCCTCGCCGCGCGTCCTCCCTCCCCCTCCTCTCACTCCTAACCCTCGTCGCCCTCCTCGCGCGCATCGCCCTCCTCCGCGGCGCGGAAGCCTACAACGGTTCGAACCCCCCGGGGTGCGTCGTGAAGATGGCGGAGAGGGACCGGGAGGCCATGCGCGCGGTGTACGCGGCGCTACCCCAGGGCATGTTCTTCTGGTACGACAGCCCATCCTCGAAAGAGCTCTTCGACAGGAGCGGCAACCTCACCTACAACTGCTGCGCCCCGTCCAGCATGAGGCCCCCGTCGTGCATGATCTGGTGTCAAATCGAGTGCACAGCCGCCGGCCGCATCACCGGCATCTACTCCGACCCCAGTCTCTATGACATGCCCGGGCCCACCGGGTATCTCGGAGGGAGCTGCCCGCCCGGCGCGCTGTCGCCCGCCATTGGCGAGCTCGCGGAGCTCTCCTCGCTGGTGTTGCGCCACTCGTGCCTCGCCGGCGACCTGCCGGACTCCGTCACGCGCCTCCAAAAGCTGACGGAACTCGACGCGCCCGATAATAGCTTCTCCGGCCCCGTCCGCCCGGGCTCTTCCGCCTGCCCGCGCTCCGCCACGTGGATCTGAGCACTACCATTGGCGGCGGCCTTTCAGGGTCCCTTCCCGACGGGCCCGATGCGTACTCCCCGTCACTGGAAACGGTTCGCCTTTCCGCTCACAACATCTCGGGGGAGCTTCCGCTCGCGATTTTCCGCGCGCCTGCGCTGCGCGAGTTGCGCCTCGAGGCCAACAACCTCACGGGGGAGCTACCGGGGGAGGCGGGAGCGTATTCGCAGAGCATCGTCGCTCTCTCCCTGCGTAGCAACGGGCTGACCGGCGGCATTCCGGCCGTGGTGTCGGAGATGACGGCGCCGAGGGAGCTCGACCTGGGGGACAACGGCCTGTCCGGGTCCATCCCAACCGCCATCGCCACTCTCTCGCCGCTCACACGCCTCGCGCTCGACCAGAACCGATTGACCGGAGACATCATCGCTGCGCTAGTCCCTGCTGCCGCTGCCTCCGCAACTCCTGACGCTGCTGCGTCTGCTGGTCTCCGCGCGGCGTTCCCGCTGCTCAACTGGACGTCAGCAGCAACCAGCTCTCTGGCGACGCGGCCGCGCTCCCGCCTCTCCCGCGCAGCCTCAGCCACCTGAACGCGTCGCGCAACAACCTCACCTGCAGCGCCGGCAGCACGTTCGTCGCGACCGTCGTGGACCTCTCGCACAACCGCATCGCCGGAGCGCTGGCTGAAGTCATGCGCGTGAGCGCGGAGGTGCTGCGCGTGGCGCACAACGAGCTGTCGGGGAGCATCCCCGCGGACCTGCTTTCCGCCGTGAGCCACGAGCTCGATCTCTCGCACAACCTGCTCTCCGGCGCAATTCCCTCCCTCTCCGGCCCCATCAATCGCATCGACCTGTCGTACAACAACCTTACGGGCGAGCTCCCGCGCGACACGGACGCGTACCAGCACAGCCTCGAGTCGCTCTCGCTGCGCGGCAACAAGCTGACCGGCGCAATTCCGACGGCGCTGCAGGCGATGCGCGCACTGACGCACCTGGACCTCGGGGAGAACCGACTGTCGGGCGCGCCCACGGCGCTCGCGTCGCTGCGCGAGCTGGACGTGGTGCGCCTCGACGGCAACGCGCTGAGCGGGCCGTTTTGCGACGCGCTGCTGCCGGCGCGCGAGCTCTATCTGGGCTTCAACGCCTTTGGCGGCGACGGCGCGGACGCGGAAGGAGGAGGCGATCTGCACGGGTGCGTGATACCTGCGCAGGTGGAGGTTCTAAGCGCGCCGCACGCGGGGCTGAGGGGGAGCGTTCCGGGGGACCTGTTCCTGCGAGTGGACGAGCAGTGGGGGCGCATTGTCATGGGGTCGCCAGCACGTGTGTTGCCAACGCAGATCCTGCACGTCAACCTCAGCCACAACTGCCTCACGGGCAGCGTGAAAGCAATCTCCGTGATCCGCAATGGGAGCCTGGTCGTGTCGCACAACAATTTCACGGGCAGCATTCCCGAGGGGTTGTTCCGCCTGGCGAGCACCGGGGGCCTGGAGCGCGGGGCGAACGGGAGCGCGGAGAGCAGCAGGGTGGGAGGGCAAGGGCGAGGAGTGGTGGACGTGCGATTCAACGAGCTGTCGGGGCCGCTGTTTGACGCGCGCAGGGACGCGCAGGGGCCCACGGACTGGAGCGTGCTGCGTGTGAGCGGCAACAGCGCTGCCATGAAGGGCGCCATGGGCGCGGGGTACCTACCCGTGCCGTCGCCAGGCGTGCAGGCGTCCGCTGCGGAGACTGAGGCTCTGCTGGCCGTGCGCGATGCACTCCTGTGGGAAGCAGCGGGGGAAGCAGGTGGGGGAACAGAGGTGGGAGCGTTGGTGGATGGCGGAAACAGCTCGTGGGCGGCGATACTGAGCAACTGGGATGCGAGCAGCAGCAGCGCGTGTGAGTGGTACGGCGTGGGGTGCACAGCAGACGGGCACGTGCACACGCTGCACCTGCTGGGCGATGCCACGGTTGCACTGCACCCCAACGTGGTCCCGGACATGCCCGACTGCCAGAACGACCAGCTCGGGGACATGTCATGCACCTCCGAGCCTCCCCACACCGCACACTTCTTCTTGCAGGGCCTGTCTGCCGGGAGCGGCAGCTGCAGTGTAAGCGGGAGTCTGTCGGAGGCGTTGGGGCAGCTGACGCAGCTGACGTCTCTACGCATCTCCGGGCACGCCCTCCCCGGCGGCCTGCCGCCGTCCCTCTCACGGCTCTCACACCTCGTCGCTCTCGACCTCTCCTCCAACCGCCGCCTCTCCGGCTCCATCCCCCCCGCCCTCTTCGCCCTCCCCTCGCTGCGAGAGCTCACCCTCCGCGGGAACAACCTCACGGGAGCAGCCCTCCCAACCACCACTGCAGCAGCAGCAGCAGCAGCAGCGCTCTCACCAAGTCTCGAGAGTCTAGACGTGGGGGGGAATGCTCTCTCGGGGTCCATAGCAGCGCGGGTGAGTCTTCTGGCGGGGCTGACGCGCCTGGCGCTGGACCACAACCGGCTGGACGGCAGCTTGCCAAGGGAGCTCGGCGCGCTCTGGATGCTCCGAGACCTGCACCTGCAGGGGAACGCCCTCCGGGGCGGGCTCCTTGAGGTCGCCACTGCCATCGATGCGTCTGCCAACGCTGCTGCTGCTGCTGCAGGGGGGGTTGTGCAGTCGTCCCAACCGCGTTACCCGCGGAGCCTGACCAAAGTGTTCCCGCTGCTCGACTCCCTGGACATCAGCAGCAACCAGCTCTCCGGTGACGCCGCTGTGCTCTTCATCCCTTGGGACGCAAATTACAGAGCGTACGAGCTCAAGCACCCCTTTCCCACGCATGCGCTACCTGAACGCGTCGTACAACAACCTCACATCCAAATTCGAGCTGAACGTGCAGACGATTGCATCCGTGGTGGACCTCTCCCACAACCAGATCCGTGGCACGCTGGATGACGTAATTGGCGTGGCCTATTGGCCGCATGCGTCGATGGATGTGCTGCGCCTGTCACACAACCAGCTGTCAGGGGAAGTGCCCATTTGGCTGTTGAGAGAAGTGGGCGGAGAGCTGGACCTCTCCCACAACCTGCTCAACGGCACGCTGGAAGACATAGTTGACCGGCATTGGTGGCAGCATGCGTTCATGGATGTGCTGCGCCTGTCACACAACCAGCTGTCGGGGAATGTGACCTCGTATCTGCTGAGATCAGTGGGTGGAGAGCTGGACCTCTCCCACAACCTGCTCTCCGGCACGCTGGCGGCGCTGAATCCAGCAATGACCGCCATCAACCTCTCCCACAACAACTTCTCTGGTGCCATCCCTGTCGAGAGTAAAGGTTAAGTGAAGCCTAGGTTTTAGGCTTAGGAAAGTAGCGAGAGAAGATGCAAGCCAAAAAAGGGATTCATTAGTAGAGGGCATACAAGATATAGGCAAGGAATTAGGCAAATGGTACACCACCTAGCAGGAAACTAAGATAACTACACTAGGCTACTGTAGGCATTTATATGAATGTATACAAATACATTTCAACACACCCCCTAAATGCCTACAGTGGAAACCCGTGTGTAGCATAAAGTCTGCAGGGGTACACCAGGTGCAGTGGAAGAAACAGAAGCAAGCAAGAGCAGTAGTAGTCGGTGCAGGAGTGGCAAATACAGCTGTAGCACGCCCTCAGCCAAGGCAGAAGCAGTAGAAGGTGTAGGGGCGGCAGGTCACCTGAGGAGCAGGCTCTGTGGCTGCAACATGCAGCAGGACAGCAGCGGCTCGACGGCAGCACCTGCAGGCCCCAGCAGCAGACAGCAGAAACAAGGGCAGGTGGCGGCAGGGGCGGCAGCAGGCGGTGCCACGGTAGCAGCGGGTGGCAGCTGCAGATGCTTGACTGTTTTCCCACCACCCTCTCTTACCCTCCCCCCCACAGCAGCACAAGCGGCAGTGAGAGAGAGAGGAGGGGTGGCTGCTGGCTTTGCAGAATCTCTCTCGCCACCCTCTCATACTCCCCCCGTTTCCCCTCACCCTCCCACCGCAACCTCTCCCCCCCCCCTCACGCCGGACCCCGCTGAAGGGAGGGGTAGGACAGGCTGCAGGCAACTCACACCCGCCACCCCCACATCTCCCTCCCCCCACGGCGGAAGCTGCGGAAGGGAAGGGGGGGGAGGCGTTAGCTGCTGCTCACGCAGGTGCTGGCGACGGGCGCTGGTGCTGGCGAACACGGCCGTGCGCGGGTGCGCACGGTCGTACGCGGCTGCGCGCAGCAATGCGCGCCCGTACGCAGCTGCGCGCGGCTGCTGCTGTGTTCGTGATAGAATGGGGTAGGGCAGGTCGGGACGGGGTGGGTAGCGCTGGGCGGGTGACAGGGCGAAGGAGCAACGGGGCAGTACGAGCCGCCCAGCTTTTAGCCATGACAGCAGACAGCTTGCCGTCGCGCCCGTCACGTCAGTTGCAACTAAGGGCGCGACGGGCGCCACGAAACGAGAAATACGCGGTGGGCCCATGTAGTAGTTGAAAACAGCAGGCCAGGATGTTACGTGCTCTGATACCATGTCGAGAGTAAAGGTTAAGCGAAGCCTAGGTTTTAGGCTTAGGAAAGTAGCGAGAGAAGATGCAAGCCAAAAAAGGGATTCAATAGTAGAGGGCATACAAGATATAGGCAAGGAATTAGGCAAATGGTACACCACCTAGCAGGAAACTAAGATAACTACACTAGGCTACTGTAGGAATTTATATGAATGTATACAAATACATTTCAACAATCCCGCCTCTCGCTGGTGCCCTGGAGTCATGTGACTTGTCGCACAACCAGCTGGAAGGGGCCATCCCCCCGCTGGGACCAAGACTGGCGCACATGAATGTGAGCTGGAACAACCTGACTGGGATCAACGCGTCAGTGCTTCTCTAGGATGTGAGCGCGCTGCGCAGCCTGGATGTGTCTCATAATGCCATCACCGGGGGGCTGCCCGCTGTGGGTGAGAGGAGCAGCGGCGGCGGCGGCAGCAGCAGCAGCAGCAGCAGTGGGGTCACGGGCCTCGCGTATCTCGACCTCTCCTTCAACTCCTTCTCCGGCGCCCTTGCACAACAAAACCTGCCATTCACATCCACAGGCGAATGCAGTGTGATGCAGAGCGGTGCAGAGGTGCGGCTGAGCCACAATGCACTGACTGGGAGCATCCAGGATGCTGTCTTCTCCCCATGCCTCTCCCTGTTGGACCTCTCCCACAACCACCTCTCCGGCCCCATCCCAGACCCTCTCAAGGCCAACAACCAGAGCGCCTCCCATCCCGCTCTTTCCCACTTGGACCTCTCATCGAACCAGCTCACAGGACCCATCCCCGATGCTCTCATTACCAGCCTCACAGAACTAACTCACTTGAGCCTCTCCCACAACCAGCTCACAGGACCCATCTCTGATGCTCTCACCACCAGCCTCACTGGTCTAACTCACTTGAGCCTCTCCCACAACCAGCTCTCTGGCTCCATCTTGCCTCTATCTGCCTGCCCTCGCTGCACTCACATTGACCTCTCTTACAACCTCTTAACTGGTGCCATTCCTGACCTACTCCAGGGCACCACTCAGAACTCCTCCCGTCTCCCTCTTTCCCACTTGGACCTCTCGTCCAACCAGCTCACAAGACCCATCTCCGATGCTCTCACCACCAGCCTCACAGGTCTAACTCACCTGAGCCTCTCCCGCAACCAGCTCTCTGGCTCCCTCCTGCCTGTGGCTGCCTGCTCTTGCTGCACTCACATGGACCTCTCTTACAACCTCCTCTCCGGTGCCATTCCCCCCCTCCTCACCTCCTCGACCTCCCCCCTTGCCCACCTCAACCTCAGCAGCAACCTGCTATCAGGCTCGCTGCCGCGCTCCCTCACCCTCGCCCCCATGCTCACCCATCTGGACCTCTCACGCAACAAGCTCAAAGGCTCCCTGCCTGCCTTCTGCCAGGGCAAGCAGCGCCTCGCCTCTCTCCTCCTCTCCTCCAACGCTTTCTCCGGCCCCCTCTCCTCCCTCCTCCCCTCCTTCTCCTCCTGCGCCTCATCCCTCCTCTCCCTCAACGTCTCCACCAACCAGCTCTCTGGCTCGCTCCCCGCATCCCTCTCGCACTTCACCGCGCTGCACTCCTTGCAGACGGCGCGCAACCGCACGAGCGGCAGCATCCCTGCAGGGCTGGCGTCCCTGAAGGCCCTGCAGGAGCTGGACGTGTCGTGGAGCGGGCTGTCAGGCACCATCCCTGCACGCCTGTGTGTTGCTGCCCCCTCCTTGCAAGTGCAACTCGCTGGCAACTCCCTCTCTGGCTCCGTCCCCCCCCCCCCTCTCCAACCTGCCCACCTCCTGCTTCCGCCCCGGCAACCCCAAGCTCTGTGGGAAACCCCTGCCTGACTGCAAGAAGAGCTCTACCAAGCCTAGGAAGGGTAGAGTGTAGGAACTGGTGGAAGGAAGGGAAATTGTCCCAGGTTTTGACCTTGAGATATTTTCCTGTTGTTGTATTCATGCCAGTAAGATAAAATAAACAAAATTGGTTGAGTAGGAAATCCCCACACGATTCTTCCTATGATAACGGTACCTCTGTAGTGACCAGGGCTGATTTTATCAGGGTACCGTATCACCCCGGATATAAGCGCAGGTGCGCTTATAATAAAACAGTGATTTTTAGGGGGGTGCGCTTACAATTGAGTCACATTTATAAGCGCATGCACTTATATAATGACAATAACAGAAATATGTTTTAAACTTACCAAATTGTGCATCTCAGTATTGCAATTTCAATCGAATCGAAACATTAGAGCGTCCCAAATCAGAGAATCGCGCGAGGACGAGTTCTGCCACCACACAGGGGCGTGTTGAAAGGCTAGGCAGAAATCAGAATCAAGAAAGAGAGGATTGCACTAGCAAGCAGTTGAGTACATATAGCAAACCCTAAATTCGGGCTGTACTCGCTATAGAGTACCCCACTACAGGCTACACAAACATCACATTCTGACAGGGCGAGGACACGTCACTTCACAGAGGGATGTGTCAAGCTCGCCCCAAACCAATGTACGAGCCAGTCGCACGGAGTCGCTTGCTCGCAGCGCAGAGGCACAGTCGTTCTCGAGCCCCTCCGCCCGCCCCTTTTTTGCTCGCACAACGCACATGACAGTCGTTTCCAGCGCACCTCTTCCCTCCCCCCCCCCCCCCCCCCCCTCCCAACGATGTGCTGTCAGCCAGTCAGCTTCGCGCCGTTTCGCTTCTCCTGCGAATCGCTCGCCCTCAATTGAGTCAAACAAAGTAAAAACGGATCTGGACTCGCTGCAAAACGGGAAATCGTTACCGTTTTAATCCGAATTTAATAGTATAATTATTGATGCGCTTATAATAAGTCAAGCTTTTACAGGAGGTGCGCTTATAATCGAGGATCGGCCATAAGCGCATTGCTCCAGATATAAGCGCATGTGCTTAACATAGGCCTGCGCTTAACATAGGCCTGCGCTTATATCCGGGGTGATACGGTAATTACCCTGATTTCAGGGTGATTTCAGGCTTTCCACTTTGCGGAGACTGAGATTTCAGAATTACTGAGTTCTCAACCCTGTTCAAGTCAGAGTAATAGTTTTCATATCCCTGATTTACAGTGTAGTGTAACAGACTTGCCTGTTAGTGGATCCTGACTTAATAGGGTATCGAATTTGTGGTCCCTGATTTTGACCTTATTGAGAGGAAGTTTCTTGGAAATTTCCTTCCGATATCCCCCTTCGGATTGATTGCAGTACAGCCAGCGCGTGAGCGACGGACAGCAGCATGCCTGACAGTCGAGTACACTCGATGTTTGTTGTTTTCACGAATTGCGAATAAATTGTTCCACTATCGCATTTGCGTTTGCGTGAAGTTACCAGAACTTATTTGCTTTTTGCACAGCGATGTTGGCGACATTCAGGTACTCGACATTCAGGTAAACTTGACACATCTGTGGTATCGAATCGAAATGTTAAAACGTGTGGATAAATACTTGTTTCTAAAACCAAACGGGTGGAAATTAGCGCGCTCACAGTGTACGCGAAACACAGAGCGCAGACTTCACGCAGAGCGAGAGTTTTTCCCCTGTAACAAAGGGCGCATTACTACTCTGATCTTCGTTTCTCGACCCTGAACAACAAGAGTTATATACTTTTCAACCCTGAGCAATCAGGGTAGCATCATTCTGAAAAATGTGCACTCATAATTGAGGGGAAATTTTTTCCCCGGAATCAGGGAGGCCTAATATGAAACGTCAGCCCTGGTAGTGACACATATAAACATCATGATTCTGATTTCAAATGCAGCAATCACCCAGAGCAGATACAAGACCCTTGGGTCTTATGAAAACTACAGGAAAAAAATGTAGGGGGTCCCAACCCACTGTTAAAGCCTGAATACAGCATGGCATTTTTCAAATTCAAGATTCTTGAACTTGAAGTCGCCAAAAACAGGGTTACCCTCTTTGGTTTGAAACACATCTCGCGACAAAGGGAGAACTTCCCAGGCAGCATGCTCCTCCGTCTGCCGCTCCCCAGGCTGCAGTTGCCCCTCACGCAGTGCATTCCTCTGCCGCTCCCGCTCATGTCCCTTGACAGCTGGTGACTCCCCCAGCTCCTGCTCTTGCGCCTGTTGCTGCAGGGGCTCCTGGTCTCCGCCTGTTGTTGATCCCCCTGGTGGCAGGCATGGATTTTCAGGCGGAGGGAGGAGGAGTGGCGGTGGCACAATATCCTCCTCTCCTTCTTGCTGCTGATGCTCCTCCCTCTGCTATTACTGCTCACTTCCCCTACCCGGTAGGAGAAGTCCCTCTCCTGCAGGCGTGCATGCCCGAGGCAACTCTTGGGCACCTGTGGCGGCTTTTTGAGAGCTTGCGGGCTCTCTTGTTGCTGCAGGTATTGGCGCATGCGTCACTTCCGCGTGTTCCTGGAAACACTCATCTTGACGGGCAGAGGGACGAAAGCCTCGATGCGGCTGAACAGCTTGCCCTCCTCCTGGTGTTGTGCCAACACATTACAATGGCACGGTCATCGCACTCCCATTCGGCCTACAAGCCTGCTCAGCTTCTGGAATTTTGTGGGGAGGTTGTTCAACATGTGTTCTTCAAACCCTCAAAGTTTCAGAGTTTTTGAAGCAGTTACCAAGGCATGACAACATTTTATGTTTCAAGACTTATGGCATCCCGGAAGTGTGTGTTACTCTTTTTTGGTAACACCCGAGTTCACCATTTCGGCTGCTGACTCGTCTACCGAGCTCGGATTGGTCCGAAATTCGGTCTGGCAGTCCTTTGCCCCGCTGTGCAGGTGGTCACCAAGTTTCAGAACGATCCAACATCTGAGCATTGCGTGACAGCTGCCGAAATTCACTGTTCCGTAGTCATGGTGCACTGTTGGCAGCATTTCCCTTGCCACCCTTTCATTGTTGTCATGCCAATGGTGCAGGGACAGAGAATGAGACAAGAAGTACAGGTGGTCAAGTGGGACTCTACAGCTCTCCTTTTGAGAAGTGTGGTCTTCCTGGAACCAGCTTGCAAGAGGGTGCAAGTGGGAAGACAAGCTGACTCATGGTTGGCTTAACTCACAATTGGTTGCCTTGAGTACAGCTCTGAACATCCATGTGTGGTTGGCTTTGCTGACCTAGCTAGGACGTTTCCCATCCTTCTCTAGCCTTTCTCCCCTAGGACTCAACCTTCTCTGAGTTCCCAGGATGATCCAAACCCCTTAAGAGTCCCCTAGGCAATGTTGTACCTCACCTCTTCCTTGCATCAATGAGAATACACGTTTTTCCGCCGAGCTTATGTTTTCGTTCACAGCGTAGCGCATACACCTCTGGTGAAAGCAAGCAATACACCGTTGGAAAGCAGACAGTTAAGGCTAACTGCTCTCCGAGTTTCAGCCTCATGTGTTATCGGAGCTGATCGTGACGGCGTTTTGAACAGAGGCGGTTTGAAGACGTCAGATTCTGCTTAGGCGGTTTCATGGGCATCCGCGACCTCTAAGTGGACTCTTGACTATAACAAGTGGTATCAGAGCTGTTCTACTCTGTTCGTGGGTGAATATGGAGGCTGAAGGTTCTGCTCCAGCTGGTCCCAGTGGCAGTGGTGGCGTGAGAGGCGCTGGGGAAGCGGGAAGAGGCGTTGCAGGCGGATCTGCACCAATGGCTTCCGTTTCAACATCAGCTAAAGATGATGTGAAGGCATTCAACCTGGAGAAGTTCTCTGGGGAGGATTGGGCATCATGGAGCTTCAGGATGGAGCTCCTCTTCAACCATTATGGGCTGCTTGAAGTGATGGATGGAGAATTGAAGAGGCCTGTGAGCGAAGGAGCGACCAAAGAATGGGATCGCCGGTCCAAGGATGGATTCTTCCTTCTCTCCCAATGCCTCTCATCCAACCAGCTGCACCACATCAAGCATCTCATCAAGGAAGTTGAGTGTGGTCCTAAGGCATGGAAGATATTGAAGGATGTCCATGCCCCCAGCAGCGAAGCTATGTGGTGGTGCTCGAGCGACAACTCCATGCGGTGAAGATCAACGAGGGTGATGCCGTACAAGGAGCGTTCGATCAACTCAGGGACCTCTATGTGAAGCTCTCTGCTGCTGGTGTGGACTACCCTGAGAAAATCAAGTGCTACAAGGCTCTCTCCCTGTTGCCGGAGTCGTGGGGGCCCTTGGTGGTCAACCTTAATGGCATGAAGGACTCGTGGTCCCTTGAGTGGATTCGCGCGCAAGTTCAAGAGGAGTTTCGGAGGAAGGAGCTGACCGCCGCTGCCGGTGAAGGTGGAGGCTCAGCCTACGGCATGAAGGGCTTCAAGGGGCGTGGCAGCAAGAAAGGCAAGGCCAAGGAAGGCTCTGGAGGGGAGCAGCATTCGGTAGGGAAGCGTGGCAACAAGGGAGGCAAGCGGTGTGGCGGCAAGTGTTGGTATTGCCATGTGGAAGGGCACCCATGGTTCAAGTGCCGCAAGCTACCGGACGGTTGGAGGCCTGGTCAGCCATCAACTGAGGGCTCCAAGGGTGTTCATGGAGCTATGGGAGAAGGCATGGGCAGTGAGGAGGGCGATGGAGGTGCTGGTAGATACGGCGGCATGTTCTACCATGTAGGGGAGGCGTGCCCCGAGGACATGGTTGTGCCGGCCAGCAAGATTGCTCTTCACTGCTCCTCCCATTGGGTCATCGACACGGGAGCCTTCATGACCATGACCAACCGAGAGGATCTACTGGATGAAGTTACGCCATCAAAGGCAGCCACCGTCGTTTCAGCCACCGGCCAAGTTGTACCCGTGCGTGGCGAGGGGAGAGCCATGTTCATGGGTGCGGATGGGAGGCTTGTGGGGCTGAAGCGTGTTCTCCTTGTTCCTGGATTGTGTGCCAACCTCCTCTCTACCAAGGCCCTAAGTGAGGCAGGGATGAAGATGGAGATGTTGGGCACAAAGGTTTTCAAGGCAACTCTGGATGGGCGCGTGTTGTGGGACCTCCGAGGCGGCAAGGACATGCACCGGTCCATGTGGGAGATACCGGTGCTGCCATGGAAGGAGGCGGCTGCGCGGTTGGCTGCTGGAGGTGTGAGAGGAGGGCGTGTTAACCACGTGGACAATGGAGGAGGTGGTGATGATAGTGATGGTGGGCTCCTTGGGCATGGAGGGGCTGAGTTACCAAGTGTAACTCCTAGCACGGGTGAGACGGATTGGCTCACCGCACACCGTCGCTTTGGCCACGTGGCGCTACCTCAGTTGCAGCAGCTGTTCAAGGAGGAAAGAGTCAAGGGGCTGAGGATAAAGGGGGAGCCCAAGGAGGTGGGATCTTGTGAGACTTGCTTGACCAGCAAGTTTTCACGGTTTCCCTTCCATTCGGTGGAGGGGAAGTCGAGCGACCCGGTGGAGCTCGTGCATGTGGATCTCGTGGGACCCATGAAGGTGAAGGGAGATGGTGGGGCCCTGTATTCCATGACCATGGTGGATGACAACACAAGGCTCACCTGGTCCTTTCCACTTGCAAAGAAAAGTGATGCTGCAAGGATCATCATTCAAGAGTGGCTGCCCTTGGTGGAGCGAGAGAGCGGCAAGCGGGTGAAGGCGATTCGTAGCGACCGTGGTGGGGAGTTCTTGGGAGCGGAGTTCCGGAGCTGGCTGAAGCGGCACGGCATCAAGCAGCAGCTCACCACGGCCTACACTCCTCAATCCAATGGCGTGGCAGAGAGAGCGAACCGGATCATCATGGAGGGTGGGAGAACGATGTTGGTAGACTCGGGTCTACCCTTACGATTCTGGCCCCTCGCTATTCGCCATGCCACCGTCATCAAGAACCGAGTATTGACTCATGTGGGAGGGCAGCATTGGGTCCCTATGGAGAAGTGGAGAGGCAAGAAGCCCCTGGTGGATATGCTTCGAGTCTTCGGGTGCATGGGACTCGTGCACGTCCCTAAGGAGAAGCGTGACAAGCTTCAAGCGGCGGCGGTGTGGGCTGTTCATTTGGGACTTGCACAAGGGAGCAAGGGGTGGCTCATGTGGGACCCAAAAGCCAACACCATCTTCACCACCAGAGATGCCAAGTTCATGGAGGGGCTCATGTTCAAGGAGTGGTTGGAGAGAGGGAGGAGCAAGGTCACCATTCCGCTCGGAATATAGGTGGGAACGAATGACCCACTCCTCATTCCCATCGAGTTGTCTTCATCTTCAGAGGTAACGGAGGTGTCACATGACTTGGGAGGTGCTGAAGGGGAGGCAGCAGAGGTGGAGGGAGTGTTGCAGCAAGAGGCGGCCCCTGTAGCTGAGAGAGGTGCTGCCGGGGAGGAGGTGCAGCAGCCTACACCATCCCCTTCACTTCCACCAAGGCGGACAACCCAAGGGAAGCGTGGTGCTGTCCGCGGTGGAGCTAAGGAGGGTGCAGCCAAGGAGAGGCCCAAGAGAGCTGCTCACCCAAGGGATTTCCTCAAGTATGAAAGGCTTGGGGGTCCCAAGGCATTGCTGGTCCAGGAGGAGGAAGATAATGAGAAGGGAGCCGAGGGAGAGATGGAGCAGATTTGTTGCTTCGGTGTCAACTTACCTCATGAACCAGCTTCAATGGAGGAAGCACTTGCTGGAGATGATCGAGAGGCTTGGTTGGCTTCAAGGGAGGATGCGTTTCAGAGCCTCATGGAGAATGGAACATGGACCCTCACTGATCTGCCCCCGGGAAGAAAGGCATTGGATTGCACGTGGATATTACGTGTGAAGACCGATGCGGAGGGGAAGTTGGAGAGGCGCAAAACAAGACTTGTGATCAAGGGTTTCCAGCAGAGGGAGGGGGTTGACTTTAAGGAGGTGTTTGCTCCTGTTGCCAAGGCTCCTACGCTCCGGGTGTTGCTGGCAGCAGCTGCCGTTTGTGGTTGGAAGGTGGAGCAAATGGATGTGAAGACGGCTTTCCTCTATGGCGTGGTAGATGAGGAGATCTACATGAAGCAGCCAGAGGGGTACGACGATGGGAGCGGACGTGTTTGCAGGCTCAACAAGGCCATCTATGGCCTCAAACAAGCTCCAAGGTGCTGGTATGCAAGGCTGATGGAGGCGTTGGAGGCTCTTGGCTTCAAAGTCAGCGGGTGCGACGAGAGTCTCTTCATGACCGAGGGGGAGGAGGAGAAGGTGTTTCTCCTTGTCTATGTCGATGACATTCTCCTCTTCTCTCCATATTTAGAGAGGATCAAGGAGGTGCAAGGGAAGCTGAAGGAGACCTTTCAATGCAAGGCCCTTGGACCGGTGGGGTATTACCTTGGTCTTCACGTGGAGCGGGACGAGGTGAAGGGATGGTTGAGGCTTCACCAACACAAGTACCTTGCAGCCATGGGGGAGAGGTATGGGCTGGAGGAAGGGAGGAGTGTGAAGACTCCTCTACCCTCAGGGTTTCAGCTACACCTTGATGAAGAGGAGGGTGAGGTGTTGGAGCCCGAGTTGCAGCGTCGGTTCCAGTCAATGGTGGGGAGTTTGATGTATGCTTCGGTCAACACTCGCCCCGATATTTCATTCGCGGTTTCGCAGCTGGCTCGTGTGGTGTCTAGGCCCCTTCAAGAGCACCTTGATGCAGCAAAGAGGCTGGTGAGGTACTGCATGGCAACCTCAAGGGTGGGGCTGCAATATTCAGTGCATGGGCAGCTGAAGCAAAAGGGAGTGGAGGAGGTGAGCACGAAGACCGGTGCACCTGCAAGGCGTGGACACTTGTACCTATCGTGCTTCACCGATGCTACCTGGGCAAGAGACATTAGTGATGCAACATCCCATGGTGGCTATGTATGCTGTGTTGGAGGGAGTCCAGTGAGCTGGAAGTCTAAGAAGCAAGGGGAGATAGCTCACTCATCAACGGAGAGCGAGTACATGGCGTTGTTTCATGGGGTGAAGGAGGTGGTTTGGATGAGGAGGTTGCTTGAGGAGTTGGGGCAGGAGCAAGAGGGTCCTACACCTGTGTTTTGTGACAGCCAAGGAGCAATTGCAATGGCTCGCAATGCTGTGCTCCATGGGCTGAACAAGCACATGCATATCAAATGGCATTGGGTGAGGAAGGAGGTGAAGAAGAGCACGGTCTCCTTGCACTACATCAACACTACCAAGCAACCTGCAGATTTCTTGACCAAGCGGCTTGCAGAGCATCAGCATTGGAACTGTGCCACCTTGTGCGGCATGTCCTTCAACTAAGGGAGGCAGCTTCAGGGAGCAGCTAAGGGATGAATGAGAGCACGATGAGGGGGAGTTTGTTGTGCCAACACATTACAGTGGCACGGTCATCGCACTCCCATTCGGCCCACAAGCCTGCTCAGCTTCTGGAATTTTGTGGGGAGGTTGTTCAACATGTGTTCTTCAAACCCTCAAAGTTTCAGAGTTTTTGAAGCAGTTACCAAGGCATGACAACATTTTATGTTTCAAGACTTATGGCATCCCGGAAGTATGTGTTACTCTTTTTTGGTAACACCCGAGTTCACCATTTCGGCTGCTGACTCGTCTACCGAGCTCTGATTGGTCTGAAATTCGGTCTGGCAGTTCGTTTCCCCGCTGTGCAGGTGGTCACCAAGTTTCAGAACGATCCAACATCTGAGCATTGCGTGACAGCTGCCGAAATTCACTGTTCCGTAGTCATGGTGCACTGTTGGCAGCATTTCCATTGCCACCCTTTCATTGTTGTCATGCCAATGGTGCAGGGACAGAGAATGAGACAAGAAGTACAGGTGGTCAAGTGGGACTCTACAGCTCTCCTTTTGATAAGTGTGGTCTTCCTGGAACCAGCTTGCAAGAGGGTGCAAGTGGGAAGACAAGCTGACTCATGGTTGGCTTAACTCACAATTGGTTGCCTTGAGTACAGCTCTGAACATCCATGTGTGGTTGGCTTTGCTGACCTAGCTAGGACGTTTCCCATCCTTCTCTAGCCTTTCTCCCCTAGGACTCAACCTTCTCTGAGTTCCCAGGATGATCCCAACCCCTTAAGAGTCCCCTAGGCAATGTTGTACCTCACCTCTTCCTTGCATCAATGAGAATACACGTTTTTCAGCCGAGCTTATGTTTTCGTTCACAGCGTAGCGTATACACCTCTGGTGAAAGCAAGCAATACACCGTTGGAAAGCAGACAGTTAAGGCTAACTGCTGTCCAAGTTTCAGCCTCATGTGTTATCGGAGCTGATCGTGACGGCGTTTTGAACAGAGGCGGTTTGAAGACGTCAGATTCTGCTTAGGCGGTTTCATGGGCATCCGCGACCTCTAAGTGGACTCTTGACTATAACACCTGGCGCCCGTGTTCGCTGCGCCCGCGCGGGTAGGCGTTGCGGCTGTGGGGCAGCTTGAAGCACTGTTTGCGACCTGCGGCGTTATTTGCGTGCAGGGACTGGAGTCGATGCGATCGGCGCAAGCACCTCCACAACCACCACCTCCTCCTCCCTCTCATCAAATCGCGAACCCAGCAATATAGCGAGCCAAGTAAGATTCGTTTCGGTGTGGTGTGGTGATGCATGGTGTATGGAGGTGTAGTGTGGTGGGGTGCAATGCGAAGAAATGACGAGTTAGAGTGTGGTGAAGGACATCACAAACGCCAGGTTCCATGACAGTGGGTTATAGTGTGATGGTGTCATGGTGTGATGGCTTCCTCGTTGCCTCTTTAGAACCTCAGAGCCAGACTAGCATAACACATGGACGCCCTTCCCTCCCCCCTCCTTCACCCTCACGGCACGTGTGTTCCCCCCCACACCATTCCCTTATTCAACAGACCCCTTGTTTCCCCCGCTTGCCTCTCCACCCATCCACGCCTCTCCCACTCCCCCCCTCACCACCTGCTTCTGTGCCCCGCTCCTCCCCACGCACCCACTTCCTTCACCCCTTCCCTCCAGGTCCCTCCTTCATCCTCTCCTTCCACCGAACCCACTCAGGATCTGAGTGCGCCGGCCAGCAGCAGCACGATACTGCATTCTTACGCCCAGCTGCTCGTCTCTTCCCTCCCCCAACCATTTCCTCCTCCAACAAGCAGTTCCCGCCCCACCATCATCTCTCCCCTTTCCCCACCCAAACCCACTCAGGCTGACTGTGCGCTCGCAAGCAGCGGCCTGGTGCTGGTGTTCGGGGAGGTGCATCCAGATGCCTGCCACTCTTCCCTTGACTCTCTCGACAATTGCTTTCATCCAAACCACACTGCTTTTCAATCCTCTCTTCCCCCCCAATCCTTTGTCCCTTCCTCATCCCCAAACCTTCCCATTTCTCCACCCTCCTGCCCCACCCTATCAAGATCTGAGTGGTCTGGCCAGCAGCAGCACAGTCCTGGCGTTGAGGGAGGTGCCCCTTGACGCCCTGCCACTCTTTCCTTATCGCCCCACACCATTACTTCCCTTGCCCTGTCTGGCTTGCCGCCTGCAACGTGGCTGCATTTGTATGCCGCCCTGCCACAATCACTCCTTTTTTTTTTTTTTTTTTTTTTTCATTCCATTCCCATGTGCATGCTTACAAAAGCATGAGGACGAAGACTCTACGCAAATAGCGAAAACACTGGTTGCTAATGGGGTTGGCATTATTATAACTTGTCGCATGCACGGAGGAACTGGAGTAGTCCATCGAGCTAACTTCAGTCGCACGCGTAACTGCCTAAATTGTCTATTGCAACTATAATTTGTGCAAGCGGCCAATCAAGGTGTCGCTATGCAGATTGATACAAATATATTTCCTTCCTAGCATGCCAGGGTTTAGGATAGAAAGTCAACTCCACTAAACCCAGTCAAGCATGGCATGTTCAAGATCACAGTAGCAAAGTGGGGATGGAAACACAATCCATTCACTCATCCTGACCTGCCACCCACTCCTCCACTTCCAACGTCAAAGCGGCTTGCTACCCACCACTCATCACCATCGTCGCTCCACTCTCCGCATCTCTTACCACTGCGTTTGCCACATCCTCCTCCTGATCCGATGGGGTTTCAGCCTCTTCCCTTTCACAGTGGTAACCTGCAATTATAGCCAATGAGAAGGAGTGCCAGATTTTAGGGTGGTGTGGCTGTCGCGATGAATATTCTAATCCGTGGAGCATGGCAGGACAGGGCAGGGGTAGGGCATGCCTGGGGGGGCGGGGGACAAGGGCGGAGCGGGGCATGACAGGGCAGGGCAGGGCAGAGCAGGGCATGGCGTGACATGTCTGGATGGAGCAGACCAGGGCGGGGCGGGCCATGACAAAGCAGGACAGGGCAGGGTCCAAGCATGGCATGGCATAGAGTGGCATGCCTAGAGGGAGCAGACAAGGTCAAGGCGAGACAAAACAGGGCAAGGCAGGGAATGGCAGAGCAGAGCAGGGTAAGTTAGAGCATGGTTGTTCAAATTTTAGATATGGGGAGGCATAGGGCGTGAGGTGTTAGTCAAAAACCTTTGGGGGTGTCGATTGTGGCGGTAGGCGTCGTTGTGGTTCTGTCTGATGCCAGGCAAGCCTTGCGCGGGTTTGAAAGCTCGCTTGATGTTCACCTTAGACGCTTAGTGTGGGAGGTTCGACACAGCACCTATAAGAAACATAACGATGGAGCGGAAAGCACGGATTGGTGAACATCTTACGCTGGAGAAAATGTTTTTGACGAGTATGAGCCATACTGAGCATAAAAATACTTACGTTGCGCTCCCGTTGCTTACCCAAACGACATCGTGCGGCTCCACGAGATGTGCCGTACTCTCGACCGATTCCGCCTTGGCGCACTGGTGTGACGGGCTCAAGTACAGATGCCGTGTGCCGTGCAATCAAGGCATCGATCAGCTCCGCACCCGTTTCCGAGGTGTCAGGCGTCTCGTCAACGTCCACACTATCTCCAAATCGCAGTGTTCGTTGCCATTTCTCCATGATGCGATCAACCCAAGCCCAATCCATTGGGGTCAAACTGCGCTCCTTGGATCCACACCTTATCCTCGTCACCTGCCGTACTCTCGTGCGATAGGCGGTCACCAAACGATCCATGCCGTGATTCCAATGGAGAACCGCGAGACCGACTCGTGCTGGGAAACTGCCCTAAAACTTAATCTGCTTTGGTGCGTATTTGATGATCAAAGAATGGAAAGACTCGTTGAGTGAACTGGATGCGCCATGCACAAACGACTTCACCTTCTCAGGGCTTTAAGCATTTGGAAACCCATGCACGAACTGCCTCGCGTGTCGACGTCCCAAACTCATACAGGGCATGCTCCATACCCCATCCCTCTCTAATGCATCGAGGTGGGGTATCTCCTACCCCCGAGCAGCCGGAGTGATCACCTGCCCAGTGGTTGGGTGGGCTCCCAAGCTCCCTCGCCACCTTGGCCGGGGTCATAAGGTGCCCCTCTTTCTTCTTCGCACGACACCGCACCATGATGTGATAGAGATGAGAGGAGAAGCACTGTGCCACAGTTTTTTCCTCCTTTCCAGAATTAATCTGATCTTCACCTCCGACCAGAAAGCATTATGATTATGCACTTTGGAATCAGTTCCGCCTCCACCAAGCGCATTTGTGAATGAGAGAAAAGGAAAGTCGAGAAGGTATCCTGAGTATAGAGTTGCACTTGGATCAGGCATCTCCAAAACTAAACAAGGGGGTGTATGCATACCGGTCTCCGTGTCGGTGTTGGCCCAAGAAATAGAGCGACCGATGAAATGAGAGTTTCCATTTGCTCCAGCGTGCACAAGCATGATGAGGGTGCTCGCAAAAGGTGCCGGTCTCGCACCCTGCGTCGGGTGCACATCATTATTCCATAGCTCCTCCAAGTCCTACCACTGAACGTCAACATTCCCCTCGTTCGGTGTCCACATCAGCCCGCTCATCTCCCTCATCCCGCTCACGCACATCAGCATCAGAAACACCAGGCACCTCACCGTAGTTCGTAGGCACCTCCACCGTAATACACTCCCCGTCCATCCGCACCACCTTTTTTAGCCCGGAGAACTTCCACTTTGCCTCTTCCGGAGTCATCTTCCTGTAAACAATCGTGCCCATGGCGGCACAAACTGATTCCACCAAAGCCTCTTTTAGAGAAGCTTTTGACTCTTTCACCAACCCCCGTGCTTTGAACCATTGCAGTAGCCCATCGACAGTCGCAAGCCATAGATCCTCAATACAGCTCGCCCTATCCACAGCAGCCGGTGCAGGGACCTGATCTTGAAGTTAAAAAAAAAAAAAAGTTTTTTAAAAGTTCAATCCCCTTACAGACGCGCCCCCACGAAAAGTAGACCCTTGATCAGAGATGATCCCTTCCACTGTAAATCCTTTTTGCGTCAGCTCATCTAAACCTTTATCGAAAGCCACCCTTTCCAGCCGCACCGCAGAGGTGTCGTCCAACCCTTTCCGTGTCGTGGAACAATACATTATCTTCATAGATGGTAAATTTAAGAACGATACTGTACACCACTTGTCAAACTATATATACGCTTTGTAATTGGGTGTAGGCTGTAGTGGGGTAACCAATGTGGGGTACAACCCCTTTAGGTCTATACTTGTACCAAAATTTCTCGATAGTCAATCATTCCTACTCGTTGATTCTGACATGGTTTCAGAGCAGTAGGTCCGTAGGACCGTTTTTTTTCGGGCCCACCATTACCTAGTGATCGACTACGGTTATCGCCTTACCCCACGCCCTGCCCTGCGCTGCGCTGTCAGCGCGCGCCCTGCCCTGCCCTGCCCTGCGCACACTGGCGCCCTGCCCTGCGCACACTGGCGCCCTGCCCTGCGCCAGCGCCCTGCCCTGCGCCAGCGCCCTGCCTTGCGCCAGCGCCCTGCCCTGTGCCAGCGCCCTGCCCTGCCCTGCACCAGGGCCCTGCCCTGCGCAAGCGCCCTGCCCTGCCCTGCGCCAGCGCCTTGCCCTGCTCCAGCGCCCTGCCCTGCACCAGCGCCTTGCCCTGCGTCCTGCTGCAGCCCGCGCCCTACTGCAGCTGCACGTCGCACCCTGCTGCCCTGCGCGTCGCTGTCAGAATCCCGGCCACTAGACCACTGGGATAAAAGGGCTTGTTAAGTAGCGGGTCAGTGCGCCCATAACCCCCCAGGCCAACGTGCCTGTAACCCTTCCCTAGGATCAATCGGGGATCACCAGTGGACTTCTGCCACCCCCCCGCACTGGGATGCCCGAAGTGCATACACCGGGATTCGAACCCGAGACCTTCGCTCTGATACCATGTCAGAATCTCAGCCACTAGACCACTGGGATAAAAGGGCTTGTTAAGTAGTGGGTCAGTGCGCCCATAACCCCCCAGGCCAACGTGCCTGTAACCCTTCCCTAGGATCAATCGGGGATCACCAGTGGACTTCTGACAGTCGTGCAGTCGTGTCCTAGCCTGCGCGTCGCGCTCTGCTGCCCCGCACGTCGCCCTCTACGGCAGCCCGCGCGTCGCGCGTGCGGAGATAACTACTACAACGGGAGCTAGACTACGGCTAGGCACGGGTGCTCGTGTGATCTCTGCGTTCGTTGGTCCTTAGTCGTTTTCCTAGTGCACACACTGCTTGCTAGTTCATGGGGCAAGTTGGCAAGAGTTTCACTAGAGAAAGTTGACAACAATGGTACAATGAAGTTGGCATAGCAAGACTACATCAGAGCTAGCATTCAGGTCGGTCGACTGCCAGCGCAGCACGGTCGACCGCGTTCCAGCACGACTTGGTCGACCGCGCTCCAGCAGTGCAAAGTCGACGGCGTGCCAACGCTGCAGGTTGACGGTGTGCCAGCGCTGCTCCCGCAGAACAGCATCGCACCAGCTTCGCAGGTGCTCGCAGATGATTGGCGTGCAGAGTCTCGTCACCTCCACAGCGCACACACCAAGCCAACCTGGCGCTGATGACTCCCCCTACTCAGCCACGTCGACCTCGGGATACCACCACCGAGGTCGGGCTTGTCAACTTCGCCTGCGCGACCGTCGCACTCCTCCGCAGAACTTCGTCACCCAGGTAACCTGGTCGACTTGGCAACCACGTCAACCAGCCGCTCCTGTATGTGCCCGTCGACCTCCCAAGTCGACAACCACCCCAAGTCGACCTCACTAGGTCGACCACGCCCCTGGTCGACCAGCTCCAGGTCGACGTCACTCCTGGTCGACCAGCTCCACGTCGACCAGCGCAGTTGTCAGCCAACCACCCAAGTCGGCTACCCAAAGTCGGCGTCACCAAGTTGACGCCTCACCACTCGACGCCCTGCTGCTCGGCGTTCTGTGTAGTGGTCGACGTCGGCCCCTCCTACGTCGACCACCAGGTCCGGTCGACCACCAGGTCGACATCATGCCTGGTCGACCTACCATCAAGTCGACCAGCAGGCCTGGTCGACCAACCACCAGGTCGACCAGCAGTCCTGTCAGCCGACCACCCAA